CCCTCCAGCCTGGCTCTGCATCTCTTCCACCTGTTTCTCTGCAGCTCCTGCTTCTTTTTCTTTCCCCGCGGCACCGGCCCCCCCACCGGCCACCGCGGCCGACCGCCGCACCGCCGGAACGGGCCGGCGGTCGGCGAAAATCATCAGTGATGAACGGAGGAACGTTTGAAAGAGTGATCCTTGTAGCCGGCTGTATCAGCGGTATCACCGGCTCAAACATCCCATTCACCGTAATGCCCGTCTCCACCAACCTGTTCACCTGTTCCACCTTCTCCAGGAACAGGACCACCGCACTGTTCATCCGGGCAGCGGACTTCACAGAGCCGTGCCCGATGATTTCCCCCACGGCCAGTGCTACCTCCTCCACCCTGCACGGAGAGCCGGCTCCGGTTTTAATGCCGTGCTTCCGTGTCAGCCTGGAGAAAACGCTGCTGGACGCCATACCGGCGCCTCAGAGCGAGGCTGACAAACAACAAACAAACACTAAACTAACCAACAAACAACCAAACACCAACCAAAACAACACTAAACTAACACAACTACATTCACAAACACAACACAACGAAAATATACCGAAAGAAAGAAATAGAAAGAGAGAAAAACACTCAACTTCATCCAACTCTTCCACTCACACACAGAGAGAGAGAGAGAGAGACAGAGAGAGAGAGAGATGGAGAGAGAGACAGAGACAGAGAGAGAGAGAGAGAGAGAGATGGAGAGACAGAGAGAGAGAGAGAGAGAGAGTTATTCTTCAATCTTTATGGTTTGTTTAACACAGAGAACATCTGAACAGATCTTTAGGACTTCTTTCTCTTTGACCTCTCATACACATTTAATTTAGTTAGAACTAATGTTTGTTTATCCAAAACTGTCTGTTTCCAGTTTTGTTCAATCTTTTGTAAAAATGACAAACCAAACTACATATTATTTGTTATCTTGATTGAATATCAGTTTGATTTTGGTGTTTTAATGGTAGGTGTGCTAGTTGTTAGGATGTGATTCAGAGCAGGTATTGTGTGCTCAGCAATATGGATAAAGTCTTATATCACAGTATATGTAATTCTATATTTCAATTAAAAATCTGTTTCTAGACCAAAATGTGAATGTCTGCCTTTGACTGACTCACTGAATTAAAAGCTGATGAATGAAAATCTCTGTTGTCTACATGAACACTATATAGACACTTTATAAAGCAAAGTGCATTTCTGGAAGATAACTTGCTGGAAGCTTAAAGTGATGACTTGATGATGATAAATGGTATTAATTAGAATTTATTGACTCATACATGATTAATAATAAATATAAATAATAAAAACTGATGGGTCCACTGATCTCTTCCAATCTAACAGCTTATATTTTATGGTGGATCTCTGACTGTTCAGCCTTTACTGTGATAGAACAGAATCAACTGTGAACACTTTAGTGAAAATGTTTCTGTCAACCTGATGGATAAAAACCCATTCAACCTGTAACCTGGGTTTTTCTATTTGAAAAGGTTAAATCCTGTTCAATGGGACAAGTCTGCCACCTGCTGCTGTGATTGTGCATCAGTATTGGGTTTTAATATCAAAGGATTATTATGTATATTATTGATAATGCAGATCTGCTGTTATCACAAGCCTGACCAGCTCCGGGAGGTTGATGCACTGTGGCTGGGTACTTCCTGTCTGTGCTAGGGGCAGTTGACACCCGTGAGAGGGGATCACATTCACATATGTTAATGTTGGGGTGTGGAAGTAACTGTTGAAATGACCAACATTGGGAAATGTTGTTGCAGTTTACCGTATAATTCATTGACTGTACAGTGGCTTTGTAGAACTCTTTATATGGTTGAAAACAGCTTCCTGCTGCAACCAGAAATTACACTCATGAGACTGTCCCATTGACTGTATATATATGGACAGAGCTTCTGGGTCTGAAAAGTGAAGCCAATGCTGAAGTGTCTTAAAGCTGCATTCTATGTATTGTCCAGCAGGGGGAGCTCCACTGGTTGCAATATAAACTGATCCCATTCACTCTAATGGAGAATGAGCTCAGTAAACAGTTTCCTGATGAGTTTCTGGTCTCGGTCTCTAGTTTCAGTCTTCTTCCATACAGCATGATGTTCATTTAGTAACTGATGGTCCCATTGAGAGTAAAACAGACCATAAAGCAGGGTATGCTTTAGGGCGGGGCTACCTTGTGATTGACAGCTTATTGTCAGTGAGTCCGTCCAGCTCAACCAAACTCAGATCAAACTGTCAAACAGTGCTGATCAGATATGGATCCAGATTCTGTTGTTGACTGTTTCTCTCCTCAAATCTGTTCACAAACACATTTTACTGTTTATCTGGAATACCAGATCCTGTGTGAGCAGGAGAGACGCCATCGTTTTATAATACGAAACAGAACTATCTGCAGAACTTCGTAGACTTTTAATTTTGTAACATCCAAAATATCAGGAAAATCTTCATTTCAGCAACAAAATTAAAATATCCTTCATCTTCTAAATTAATTTTACTTATCGACCTAGTCAAAATTTCTCAAACTACGAAGTTAACTTTTGTCATCAGTATCAATCAGCTGGATATTCTGGTAATGAGTCCCTATGCTGCTGTGGGCGTCCACTGATTTGAAAGGTTTAAAGAAGCAGAAGCAGAGTTCAGCTCAGTTAGGAGGGAGGCAGAATATGATTCATACAATGTCATTAAACTGTGTAGTTTGTAATACACACTTCATATTAACTTTGAATATAAGTTCAATATAATGAAATAACTTTCCATGTAAATTCACAAAATATTGTTAATATTTTTCTGATATGTTATCTTTACTATCATATTAATGTATTTTATTTTAACCCCTGAAAAACATGTTAATACAGTTATTTTGTCCTGTAAACGATGTTATTAATGTTTGATGAACAAAAAGAGGATTATAATAAACTCTACACAGGTTTCATATTTCACACTTGGTGCCTACTTTGACACTGGTCTTATAAAATATTTCTTTTGTATATAATTTTTACGTCATTGTATATTTTTATTATCAGTGTCAATCTTTTGCTCATTGTGATTATCTGTATGAACAGAAGCTTACATGAACCTATGTACATATTTCTGTGCAGCCTGTTTGTAAATGAACTGTATGGTAGTACAGGGTTGTTTCCAATGCTTCTGGTTCAGATTCTCTCTGACATTCACACTGTTTCTGTTCCCTTTTGTTTCCTGCAGATTTTCTGTGTGTATATGTATGCAAGTGTAGAATTTGCCAACTTAGCCGTCATGTCTTATGACAGATATATTGCTATCTGTTATCCACTACAATATAACACGTATGACAGTCAACAACATTTATGGACTTATTAGCACTTGTCTTGTAGTTTTTGGTCCTGTTAGTTTAATTCTTTACACTTATATTAGGGTTCTTAAAATCTGTTTTTCTGGTTCCAAACAGACGAGACAGAAAGCTGTCAGTACCTGCACACCTCACCTTGCTTCTCTCCTCAACTTTTCTTTTGGGTCTTGTTTTGAAATATTACAGAATAGATTTAATATGAGCAATGTACCTAATATATTGCAAATTCTTTTATCATTGTACTGGCTCAGATGCCAGCCGCTCTTCAACCCTGTACTCTATGGACTGAAAATGATTAAAATATGTAGAGTTTGTAAAAGTTTGTTTGGTTGGAAAGTATAGAGCATCCAAAAGATCTGTCCAGTTTGACTTACAATAAAAAACAATAAATAGATGTTTCTGACTGCACTGAACTATGGTCAACTGTGCCAGTGTATATTTCATTATGGTGGCATATTGCTGCCTCTGCAACCCAGTCTTCTAGAAATAAGCTTTGTTTATCACTAAATTGTTTTCATATCATTTCGTTGTGGTGACAATATAACACACCTCTGTATTATTTTCAGAAATTATTTTAAACACTACATTTATGTAATAAGGTGGATGGCAGATGTACAAAGTGCAAGACTGTCACGCCACCTTCAACAGTTCGAAGATCATGATTTGTGTGAAATCTAATGTCACTGCTGACTTATGAATAATGTTGAAGTCACTGTAGTCTCTGCAAGTGGATAGTGCTGCAAGATTTCCTATTTTGGTGGAAAATAATTGAAATATGTTGTCAGTGAACATTTTACTGACAGGTTATCAACATTTTTGCAAGTTGCCAGACACATTAAGTAAGAACATTTCCGTATTATGTTAATAGAAAATGTAATTAGCCCTGTATTACATTAAACATGTATTTGCTGGGGGGGCTACAGCTCCCAAATCTGAAATTGTATTATTGGTCTGCCCAGTTACGTTCTGCAATGTTTTATTTCTCACTGGAGGCCCCTCCAACCTGGGTGAATATTGAGCAGGCATCAGTACCAAACCTCCCATTAAGGCTGTATATGTATTCTGCAGATCCAAAGAAGCTAAAAAGATTAACAGAGAACCCTTTCCTCAGAAACACTGTTGATGTCTGGTACAAAGCACATCAGCATATTGGAGACACTCCTTCCATCTCTCGTTTCTCCCCCATATGGGGCAATACATATTTCAAAGCAGGAAGGGCAGACGGTGGATTCAAAGTTCGGCCAGATAATGGTGTGCAAAAAATAGAGGACCTTTATATGGATGGTAATCTTCTTACATTCGATCAGCCAAGCATACTATATTCCTAGAAAACAAAAGTACCTGCAATTGAAACATTTTATTTTATCTAAACATAAGAATGTAGTAACTGAACCACCGCTATCACATCTTGAAGACCTTACGCTTCAGCATCTAGAGGGGAGGAAACAGATCTCTTTATTCTATACAGCTTTGATGTCATGTGATAAAGAGTCCACCATCGACAGGCTAGAGGCATGGAG